AAGCTCCAAAACTGAACCACAAATTTCAGAGCAGTTCTTCATCAAACAAGTAGTAGTACTCCGTACTCCCTAGCTGACTTTAGGAACGCCGCCGAACGCCGAGTGAGAGGCCTTGTTTAGATACTTTCCTAAAACTTCACATCCTAGCGAATCCTATGCGATCGAATGTTCAAACAGATGCATAGAGTATTAAATATAGACTAAAAAAATAACTAATTACACAGATTGCGACTACTTTACGAGACGAAACTTTTAAGCCTCAGTGAGTCCATGATTTGATAATAAATTGCTACAGTAACACATGTGCTAATGATGAATTAATTAGGCTTAATAAATTCATCTCGCGGATCCTATAATTTATTTTTTTATTAGTATGAAAACATCATATATGACACCGCATTTAACCTTGGATGTAACACCCCAGAGCTTTATACGGTGGATCTAGAGAAGGCCTGAGTAATAAAAACGAAGCTGGAAGACTGAAAGCGTCATGGCAACCATGCAAATTGATCCCAGCACGTCACACTCACACCAATTCATTGTTCCCTCAGCTCGACGGTTGTTTCCAGTTTCCACATCGGTGCCTTTTCGGCGTACGTGGACACGGGTCAGCATGTTCGGGAGGCCGTATCGTATTATGAATTATTTACTGCTGGCTAGTTTAGTATGAGAGAAGAACACTGTTCCCGTCTAAAAATTTACGATCGTTTACGAGCAAGTGAACAGGCTGACGGCGCCGCCACCGTTGGCCACCGGTCATTTTTTAACGATCATACTGTACCACATACTCTTTTTCGGAGTACATCACATCGAATGCAAGTATATTGTACGTACACGTACGTGTATGTATAAAATTACGTGCTACACAAATACTACTACTTTGTGTGTGGATAAACCTGCAAAAAAAATCCGAAGCCTTCACGGAATTGCCAATACTTTATGCCTGGATAGCGACACTGCAGCAACTGGACTCTTGTCTGGCGCCGGTTATCCCCGCACCTTTTGCCTCTGTGTTTTATCCGAAGCCCGAAGACCGTTTGGCCGGTAAGCCATAGCTAAAAATGTTATTGGCTATTTTATTATAAGAGAAAAATACTATTCGTTCGCTAAAAAAGTATGACTTATAAGACAAACGAGTAGAGCCTAATCTGCTGTCGTCTTCGACCTTGTGAATGGGAACCGGTGACTAGGCGGCTAAAATTATCATTAGGATACGTCAGCTAATAATTGTGCAATTTTAATTTAAAGTGCAGTTAGCATCGTCGAAGCTGATCCGCGTAGCTCCAGATTATTCAACAGAGAGAAAAAAAAGGGGAAACCTAGATGCCGAGAAAAGAATCACGGCATACTGAAAGGAAACAGAACACCATTCGCAAAGAAACAAGAGAATGAAACACAACACATACCAATAACGAAACAGAAGATGCATATATGCTAAGCTAAATAATGCCGCCGGACAGAGGGGGGCAGGGGGGTGTTTTAGAACCGGCGTCGTGGACCTGAGCAGTTTTTAAATACTCCCCGTTCGCTTGAAGGAATTTGGATAAATCTGAAGGAATTTGTGAGATAAAATCAGCCATAAACAGTGAAATTCAGCCATGAACAGTACTTCCTCCGTACCAGCCGAATGAGGCCCAAGACTGGAACTGATTGGAAGGGCAGGCGAAGATATTCACGCACCGCGCAGAATAGACTGAACTCTGAAACAGGAGAGTGATACAATCCTGATAATAAGCCTGTTTGGCTGGGACTGAAACGATCATATACGATCGTGGATTATTACTGCTGGCTGGTTTGGTGTGAGAGAAAAATACTATCTAGCTAGAAATTTACGATCGTTTACGACCAGACTAAGAACGGAGGCATCTTGATATACGTATTATAGGCCGCAGGATCAACTAGGAAAATCACTTTGCTGGCTGCATGAAGAAACGGGTCACGGAACACGGGACAGCGTCTTTCTGGGTCGATCGGGCATGTTCATGAGTGTTTTTTTCCTTACAACAAATCAATATATATACCAGCATAAGGCAAATTTTAACATAAAAACTTTTGACGTCGTCAACCGACGAGAGCTTATGATTATTGATCATCATCACTCGTGATACGTACAGCACTTACTACGTATAATTTGAGCCCATGTTTAGTTTAACTCAAAATCTCAAAAAGTGCTACAGTAGCCATCACATCGGATGTTTGTGCCCCGTGTATGGAGCATGAAATGTAGATGAAAAAAAACTAATTGTACAGTTTGGTGGGAAATTTCGAGAGCGAACGTTTTAAGTCTAATTAGTCCATATTTGAATACTAATTACCAAATAAAAACAAAAACAAAAGTACCATAGTAGACCCAATTCCAACTTCATAAAACTAAACAAGGCCTGAGTGTTCACGTGGCTCACCGACAAGTACTTGGCTCCTCGATGGATCGGCACCGCACCGAATTGCGCTGCGCGATCGCCAACGACGGAAACCTCATGTGACGCGAATCACGCGATCGATCCAGGCTGCTGCAGAAATCAGAACTGGCGCCGCACCGGATCGAGTCACACTTTTCAACCAGAAAGAAGAAGGGATGTTTGGTTTGAGGGACTAATTTTTAGTCCCTGTCACATCGGACGTTCGGATGTTAATTAGGAGGATTAAACATGAGTTAATTATAAAACTAATTACACATATGGAGACTAATTTACGAGACGAATCTATTAAGCCTAATTAATCCATCATTAGCGCATATTTACTGTAGCACCACATTGTCAAATCATACACTGATTAGGCTCAATAGATTCGTCTCGTAAATTAGTCTCCATCTGTGTAATTAGTTTTGTAATTAGAATTTATTTAATACTCTAAATTAGTGTCCAAACATCCGATGTGACAGGGACTAAAAATTAGTCCATGTAACCAAACACCCACGAAGCCACGCGGCAGCAAAAGGTAAATACTGTTGTACTAGCAGCAGTAAAGAGTTGAGCCTTTTTTTCGCTGGCGTGTCGTCCTTGTCTGAACTGAACAAAGCCAAGCCACAAAAGCTGCTGCACTCGCATGCATGCTCCCGTGCGGAACAGTTGTGCTCGGACGTCGGACCCGCCCCCGCCCGCGAGATGTCACCATTTTCTTCGCTTTGGCCACTGTTTCGTCGTAGCCGCATGCACCTTCGCTCTTGGCTCTGGCAGTTGGTAGTACTACTCGGTGGTTAGACGGGGTTTGGCGCCTGCCCGGCTGCCAACGTTGCCGTGCGGCTGCGGGGATCCGATCGGGACACAGGACACGGCCGCCAGCACAGTAGGCCATGCTTCGGGCGGGAGCGGGACCGAACCGAACGGGCGCCTCACCGGCACGGCATTTGGCGCCGCATGGGCATGGCGTCTCGATCCTCCACGCGTGTGGTCCAGGACGTGAAGAAGGGCGGTGCCTTGGAGGTTGGGACGGCATCGGCGTTTGGTTGGTTCGTGCGCGGGCCAGCCGCGACCAGAACGTCTGGAGTCTGGACGCCGGCGCGACCGCGCGAGGACAGGACATGGACGGTTCGTCTCGGCTCTGCTCGGAGGAAGACGACGAGGCCACGAGGGCCGATCCTCGTGTCCAGCATCCGCTCGCTGCCAGTCACCCTGTCAGACCAGAATTCCTGAGATGGATCGATCGAGCCAGCTGTCGGTATCCCGGGTCGAAAATCCGCTCAGGATTTGTCTTTCCTCGCGTTGCGCTTGCTTTGCTTTTGGTTGGCAGCAGGCAGTTGGTTGGACACTCGTGCGTGGAAAGCGCTCGTTCCGGTATCACGTAATTCGATGAGAGTGGGAGATTATCAAATGTCTAGGAATGACAAAATAAATAAACCAATTTTGGTAAGGCGTATGCTTGCACTAAATTTGATTTTTGTCTGTTGCATAATAATTCACTAAACTTCTGGAGACGGGCATAGGCTGGGTTGTAGTCCCAACCCCCACCTCTGCACCGATCATCCATGCCATCTCAAATATATACGGCTTCACAGCATGACAGAGTGTCCTACAGATGGTACGAATGCTTCAACTGACAAAAGGTGCAAGCCACTGCTTTTTGGAAGAAAAGCTGGAACAGATTAGTAGGAGAGAGCAAAGGCTAACGAGCCAGCAGCTGCCTGCATAGAGAGAGAAATAATGAGATAGCAAAAAAAAGTGATTAGCCTGCGATGCAGAGACGACGACATCAACCATTTTTTATCTACATGGCAGCTAACTTTTGAATAAGGCCAGTGGCACTACTGCGTGCGTAGGCTCTGCCCTTGCGAGCGATATTTTGCGTGTCACAAGGGCGCCGGAACAAGGGGGTGTTTGTTTCACCTCCTAAATTTTAGTTGTTGTCCCATTAGATGTTTGGACATATAGAGTATTAAATATAGATTATTTATAAAACTAAATGCATAGATTGAAACTATTTTGCGGGATGAATTTTTAAGCCTAATTAGTTCATGATTTAATAATGTGGTGCTACAGTAAACATGTGCTAATGATGGATTAATTAGGCTTAATAAATCCGTCTCGCGGATTACTGACGGATTCTATAATTTGTTTTTTTATTATTATATAAACACCCCATACGACATCCCTATATGACACCTCCTAAAGTTTAGTCACCGGATCAAACACCCCTAAAGCGATATATAAAACACTTTTTTAAGAAGAGATGAAGGCAAATAAAGTAAATTTTTATTGGAGCATGAAAAGCCTTTTCTTCTGATTTAGACCCATGGGTTATTTAGTGGTACATACCAGCCCATGGGCTCCCACGCCTCCTAGACCTTGTAGGCCCAACAGTCCGCCCCAGCGCAACGTGACAGTGAAACGCCGGCCCGAATGACCGACACCCGCAGACAAACGCGAACAGTCCACCATACCCAAACGGTCCAGCCGCGTCCGCAAGCCCGCAACCAACCCAACCCACGCCCGCCGCACCGGAGCCGCAGAACCCACCAAACCCTACGTCGCCGCGGCGGTCGGCGAGGGGAGGGATCCTGGAGGATGGTGGCGATCTCGATGTACCGCGGCAACCTCCACATTGGCGGTCACGACAGCGGCGCCCCTGCCCCGCGCCGGTGGGAGGCGCCCCGGCCGGCGCTCGACGCGAAGCGGTTCCGCCGCCTCGTGCGCAACCGCTCCCGCGCCGTCGCGCGCCTCGCCGCGACGCCGCCGCGGCAGGTCTCCCAGTCATCCTCGGACTTGAATGGCGGCCGTGGCGCTGCCGATCCCGAGCGAGAGGCACCGGATGAGGAGGAAGGGGACGAGGGGGGAGAAGAGGAGCAGGGACAGCTGCAGCAGGACCAGGAACGTGAACATCAGCAGCATCAGGAGGAACAGGGGAATGGGGAGGCGGAGCAACAGCAACAGGAGCAGCAGCAGGAGGAAGAGGAGGAGCAGGAGGAGGGGGCGGTGGAGGACGCGGACATGGAAGATGCGGGGGAGGTAGTTGTTGAAGGGGATGGTAATGGCGATGCTGAAGAAGGTCAGGGTGAAAGTGAAGGTGTTGACCCAAACCAGGAGGAGGTGAGGCCGTCCGAATTATTCATTGCCACTTCACTATCAGTTCGTTGTTTGATGATCTGTATCCGTGTGCAATTGCTATGGGACTGTGCCACTGCTAACTGCTAATAGCGATCGGAAATTTAGGGAACTGTGTAGATACTGAGATTGTATGTTGAAAGTTAAGCTGGAAAGAAATTAAGTGTTGCAGTTCCTAGGACTGTAGGAGGATATCGATGGATGTGAAGAAGAGTTAGGTTCTACGATTTGGCATCTGCGTACATGTTCAATCTAGCAAAAAATGGCAGCTATTTCCATCTTGCAGTGAAAAATGAAGCTTCTAAGATAGATTAATCAGCACTAAACATTGTAGTTGCCCAAAAGAGGATTATGTTCTTCTGTTAGGAACTTGGGATACTTGATTGCCACTGAACACAAATTTAGCTAAGGCTGTTGTATTATTTGGAGACTTTCTCTCATGCTTTTTTAAGGCGCAAGTACTTGAGTAGAACCAAGTAAGGTTGCATATTGCTTGCATCTGAATAGGTGTCTAAGCATTTGACCTTTGTGCTTTGTTTTTGTTATGTTGCAAGCACTATCTATCTACGTGGCTTTATTGAAACAACCATAGTTTTACATTTATTCCAGGTGAGTTATCCTGATGGAATTGATGAGAAGAAGAGAAAGCTTAACGAAAAGCTGGACGTCCTAAATAAAAAGAAGCATGGCCTTGTGCAGATGCTGAAGCAGGTATCTATTTGTGCCATTATTTATATTTCTGGTTGATTTGTGTGTGGTTATAGTTTAAAACAAATGGAAATTTGCTGCATATTCATCAGCTGAATAAGTATTGAGATATGTCACATGGTACCCAATCTTATACTTTGCGTGATGACCAATTTGGTAACATATTGGTCTGAATGGAATTAATGAAACAATAATAACCTTCAACATTTGAACCTTGTCATTGTTGCGCCCTCACTTATGGCCTCGAATTTCTCCGGCTGGTGGAAGTCGGCCATCAGAAGGGTGCCTTTGGAGATGAGGAAGGGGCTGAATTTCCCTCATCATCCTAGTTTCTTGGGAAATCTGGAAACATCGGAACTCCTGTGTGTTTGATGGATCCTCACCAAACATTCAAGTGCTGTTCCAGTCTGTAGGGGACGAGTGTAGTGTTTGGTGCATGGCAGGAGCCTCATGGCTTAGCGCTCTCTTAGCAAGGTCGCTGACCCCAGGTAGTTAGTCTCCGATGTGGTCAGGTGGTCGTGTTTTTCCTTGGACAGAAGGCATAGTCTGTTTTTTCTCAGTGTTATGTGTGTGTTGGGGACCTCGGGTCCGGGTTCTTCCTAAACTCGGCTCGTTGTATCTTTTTTTCTATCTTAATGAAATGATACGCACCTCTCCTGCGTAGTTCGAGAAAAATAACCTTTCAGTTCCAAATATCAGTTGACCCCAAATGAGGCATAGCTCAACCTGTGTTGTTCTGCAACTTCACTATCAGTGGTAGGAAAAATTTGCTGCAAACTAGGATGAGTTGCATATATACCCATTGTAAATGTGACACTTGCAAATGTAAGTTAGTCTGTATGAATATGGTCCGCTCATTATTCTTTGTTGGATAGGTTATAATAGTCTGGCCAATTTTTAATCATTATGTTGCACAGTGTTAAAAAAATACATGGTTAAACGCACGCTTAGGCGCGCTTAAATGCTAGGCGGAGACCCAACTCTCGCCTAGGCCATAGGCGTCCAATTAAACACACCATGAACTACCAGAACCCATGGATGACAAAGAAAGGAAGAGAAGAGACGAGATTAGGATGGCAAAATGGTTCGTTGGGTTATGACTCCATCTATGCCTACCTCGTGGTGTCCATATCGCCCGATTTCGCTCACCCCCTACTAGATTTAGCCCCTTCTGCTCAATTTCTCCATGTGCGCAGCCAAAGCAGGGTTGCCATGGAGAGGGAGAGGATAGGGTGCGTGTGGGTGGAGTAGAGGTGGGCGCATGGAAGAGCGGATGGGGTGAGCGCAGGAGGAGCAGAGGGGGCACACCATCGAGAGGGGGAGCGACGGACAGGAACATGTGGGCGGGCGGCGGAGTGGTGGCGGCATGGCTGCGTGAGAGAGGATTGGACGATTGGCTGCTGGAATTGGTGGCTGCGTGAGAGAGGATTGGACGATTGGCTTCCTGCCTTAGTGGCAAGTGGTCCAAGTGGGCTGTTATGACATTGCTCTTCCTTTTCTGTTTATTATTTCACATTTATACAACTAAATCTCCTAATACGTAGCAGACGTGTAAGCGTTTAGTCTATGTTTACACATCCTAGGCGCTAATCAGTGTCTTAGCGCCTGCCTAGCGCCTAGCGTTTTCTTGAACCTTGATGTTGCATATGCCATTGCATGCAGATGCTTCACATTATGATTGGACATTTCAAGTAACCCTCTTATGGGCATGGGGCCTTGAATTGCTTTAGCATAATGTCACTACCAAAGTTTTGGTATCTACTTCCTCTAAACCTAAATATAAGTCTATCTAGGTTTGTTCTAAGGAAAACCTTTTCACCTTTGGCTACCAATATCCGAAAAGTATGTAGTTGATGACACAAGACATTGCTAGATTTATTTTGGAAATATACTTTTACAATATATTAGTCTAACTGTCTTAGGGAAGACCTAGATGGACTTATATTTGTGATCTGAGGAAGTATTTTCTTTTCAAATAAATATTATACTTGTTGTTTTGTTCCTCAGTCCATTTTAGAAGGAATAAGTAGCAGCAAATGCATGCACAGTTATTTGGTTGGTTTGCTGCTCTCTTTTATTCTGATTGAGAACTTCATCGTCAGGGTACTAAATGCCATTGTTTTGGCTGTTTGAATGACTAGGTCTTAAATGCAGAAGAAGAAATCCAAAGGCGTAGCATGCAGGCTTCATTGCATGCTGCCATGCCTCAGCCGTCAGAAAATGCAACAGATGGAAGTTCTGTTTCTAGGTTGGCCCCTAGAATGACTGTTGATGTCAATTTTGGTGATGTTGCTGGCGATTCAGATGCTGGTTCTAACCAGGGCACGCCTGGACGCCCCTTGCATCACTTCCACAGTATCTCTCCTTCAACAGCCTCTTTTGCGAGGTCACCGTTTGGTTCTCTACAGGTAAGCTGCTCGAATGCTCATTCAATAGTCTTGTTGTAAGTCCATTTCAACTTTTGTCTGTGTTACATGTTTTGGCAAGTGTTTAAATGGTAGCAAATTGCAAGAGTTAGACTTCAAAATCAGCTGATAACTTAAGTAGTAAATAAAGATGATTCTTTCAATGCTACCCAGTTTGCTTATATACCATTTCTGACTCTCTTTGTTGGGTTGGTCCCCAAATCAGCTGATAACTTAAGTAGTAAATAAAGACGATTCTTTAAATGCTGCCCAGCTTGTTTATATACCATTTCTGACTTTCTTTGTTGGGTTGGTTTTAGTATTTTCACATTGCTAAAGAACCACATCTAATGTTACAGGGCCACACTCCAAGGAGTCCGGCAACATTCTCTACGGCAAGTCCATCACGCTTCGCCACAAATATACACCAAGGACAACCTCCTGCTCTTTATTCAGCATCATTGCCAGGAAGTAACTATGTAGCCCCATCACCTTCCCCGGCCGCATCTGGTGGTTCTTCCTCGGTGTTCAGGGACCCTCGCCCACCTAACTCTACATAGGTTCTTACTTTGTTCGTAGTTGTACCGCCATATGGGTGTTATTTATTGACAATGTTGCTAAAATCTCTTAGCTACCCAAGGATTTAGATAATGTTGTGCTTCGGGCAACACTAGTGGAAAAACAAAACTCGTCTCTTATGTGTGTACTGTAATTAGCATGCAACATCACTGAAATTATGTAAAAATTAGGATATTCGTTTTCCTGCTAGGTGCTAGGGCGCCAGATCTTCTGGACAATGTGCTAGGTAAATGTATTATTACTAGATTCGAAGTGTCAATGCACTGTGCAGTTACTCAAGTATTCGTATCATTAATTGAGTTGCGTTGCAGTAACCAAGGCTTGTGCTGAAATTGCAATTGCAAACTTCTTTTTCCCATCTTTATTTACTGCTGAGCGATCGTTTCATTGTTTGGGCGGTACTGCTTTAAGCTTCCGACGAAACAAGCAACTTCATATTTGCTACCTGTTCTCAACATGTTTATAGAAGTAACCGATGCACAACCCACAAGATCATGTGGCAATCAATCGTCGACAAATGTACGAATGAGACAACAGCTTGATTATCTGCATTGCGTGTAGAGAGGGTAACAAATGGCAGTGTTCCAGCTCGTTCAAGGTTCATACAATCCTTTTAGGGCGTCGAAGGCAGGGAACTACAGGAAGTTGTAAGAAAAAAATTAGTAGAGTAACTGGAGACCAAGTTTAGAGGCATATAAATAGAAAACACATGGCATTAGTTGATAAGATAACGAGTTATCATGAAATGGGCACGAAGAGGGCAATCAATGGAACATCTGAGTATCTGACCGCAACTCTATTTGTATTTTAAAGGCTCAAATTTTGTTTGAAGGCCGCATGCCAGACACAACACTACTCTGTGCGTTAGCTGGTCTTGACACCAGCAACAAGACTTAACATGTGTAAAATATGACCAATCTGAACCAAACTTTGGATAAATAAATCAGGTAGTAAGTTCTGTTATTCTAACACCACCCCAACGAAACCTCATACTAATAGAGGTGGCATTATCAGAGCACTAGGAGTCTAGGACTATACACATAAATTGCTGTGGGCCCAAAAAATGAATTAGAGCTTGTAGGGGAACCAACTGATAAATGTATACTGCTGAGAGCTAGCATAATGAGATGTGCAACCACCCACACACAGAGAGAAGGAAATAAGTGAAACAAACTCTAGAAAGTGATCAGGCAGCTTGTTGCATTTGGAAATAAGAAAACAAACATATGCCCCACTAAATAAGTTTCCACTCAACCAAAACTGTTCTCTGAGCAAAATATACCTTATCAACTAAAACTGCCATAGATTATTTGTAAACTGTAGATGACGGTTTATTAGCAATATAAAAATGAAAGATAACAGGTGATGCAAATCTTCATAATCAAAATGCTATATTACCTCATCCAATGCTGTTGTCAAATCGTAGGCCTTCCCCATCCCCTAAAATTGGGCAAAGAAGTCCTGCAAGGTCCAACACAGTATTTAGATCAAGCAAACTAACATAGGGGCCAAATACCATATCGAACTCGGTGCTGGAGAAAGGTCATCTTCCCAGTTGGAAGGTGACATACATCCAAGGACATCAATTGCATACATACTGAAAATCATGTCTGCAGGTCACATGCATCATTTCAAAAGGAATTTAATGTCGATGGTGAATGGTGACAAGTCAGATTCTCAAAATCTGTTTAACCTGTAGCAATTTCCCCATAGATGGGATCATTTATCCTGATAGTAAATGAACTAAGAGAATCTATAAAAAAAACTCAATTCAGATTGATCACTCTAAGCAATAATAATTCCTATTACCTTCAGTCAGTGACTCTATTGAGCCATTAAGTGCATAGTATTACAGAATACCACAAATCAATAAATCAAGTTCAATTTGATTGACCCCTTGCTGTGCCCCCTTCATGTCTAATTCTCGAATATTATGCATTTCTAGTTTACCACTGGAGAGATTTAAAAACCAAATTCATTTGTATAATTTGACAATTGTCGAGCAAGCAAGTGCACATCAAAGTCCAGTGGTGCATATGGACTGTCAGTAAAAACTAAACAATAGGGCTGGACTACAGTTCAAAAAGATAACTCATACCAAAGTAAATTTCAGGAACCATAAGCATAGAAATCCATAAGCACAGACAACGAACTGCTTCAACGCAGTCAGGTTGCTGAAGAAGAACTCGGGTAGGTTAGGTACCTGGAACCATTTGGCGGCGACGGCGAGCGCGGAGGAGGCGGCACCTCCTGGAGTCCTCGCAGGCGTGGAGCGACTGGAAGTCGTCGGCGGGGAGCTTGCGCGTGATCCACCCGATGTCGATGTAGACGTAGCGCGGCGGCGGGGGCAGGTCGACCTTGATGCGGATGACGTTGTACCAGATGAGGAAGCGGCGGACCTGGACGCCCTGGAGGTCGGAGAGGGAGCCGTAGCGGAGCACCCCCGTGATGTGGGCCTCGAAGTAGGTGAGGTACTCGAAGTGGACGTAGCAGGGGCCCGCGAGGTCGACGGTGAGGCTGCCGTTGCTGGCGAGCGAGAAGGCGGTGACGGTCGAGGGGAAGATGCCCGGGGGCAGGCCGTACTTCGGGAGGAGCTCGGCGAGGGTCAGCGAAGGCGAAGGGGGAGAGGGAGAGGGAGTCAGAGAGGAGGCGGGAGGGGTCGCGGGCTCCGCCGACGCCATGGTGGCGCCGGCGGCGAGGAGGAGTGGCAGGAGGAGGAGAGCGAGACGCCGCATTGGGAGGAGACGGAAAGAGAGCACGTTTTTTTCTCCGCGTCGGTGGAGCGTCGTAACGGGTAGTACTAGACTACTAGTAAAGCAGGGGTCGCCGGCGGGTAGGTGCCACGATGGGCTGGCTGCGCGCCTGCGCGGGCCTGGGTCCACTTCCTCCTCCACGAGGTTTCAGAGGCGCGTGGTCAAGGACTGGAGTCAAGTAAACAAGATTACATGAGGTTCGATTTGGATGGATGCCTTCGAGGGACAACGAATAGTGTTCATGCTTACGAGGCTAAGATCATCTTTAGATTATATGTTCTAAAGTTTAGCCTATTTTAGCTCTAAATAGGTAGTCACATGTTATTGTTGTCTAAATTTAGCTAAACTCATAAAAAAATAATTAATTTATCATACCACACAACTGAGTTAAAATAGCTTAAAGTTTAGTCTTTAATTTTAGCCAACTAAATAAACTTTAGACTATGAAATATTAATCATCTGGCTACATATATTTAGGCCTTGTTCGGTTGGTTGAGAATAATTTCTGGTTGGAGGCTTCCTTCGATAAATTATATATCGTCGAACCGTCCCCCCACCAGGAATGACTCGGAAACAGGTTAACCAAATGGGGTTTTATTGTGAATGTAAATGCCCTGTTCGCTTGTTATAAGCCGTACTTTTTCAATGAACGAACATTATTTTTTCTCATAATAAATTAGCCAACAATAATTTCAGCTATGGCTTATCAGCCAAGCGAACAGAGCCAGACCGAATCATTTATTATTTTATCTAAAGAAATGAAAAAAAACATCCACGTCGTCGTTCCAAGTAGACGAGCTAGGCGTGCTGGACTTACGCAACTTGCGGAAAGAAAACTCGTGTCACCTTCAATAAGAAAATGTGGCCTTACTACTAGAAATGCATCTTCACTTGGGCCTCTTCTGTTATTAAGCGAGAAATGCATCTGCACTTTGGAAATTTCTGTAGGCTTTGTTTGGTTCCCTATAAAGAATACTTATCTGCTCATAGTTATTTTTTTTGGATCTAAACAAGTATAGTTAATAAAATAGCTAATTGTTAGCTGGACCTATAGATAATAATTATCTACTAATTGAATCAAATTAGACAATAGCAGCTATTACTATCTTTGTAGCATTTTTCATTATTAGCTGTGCATTCAAACACCCTTCAGCTAATAGGTAACTAATAGTTAGCTAGCTAATATTAGATATGAGCTATTAGCCAGCTAACTATTAGCAAATAATGAATCTAAACAACGTCTAAGCGTACCCTGAAGCCCAAATGAGAGGAAAAACAGAAGAAATGGCATAGTTACCGGGAGTGATGATTTGACTCAAGGGTAAAAGCATTCTTATTATGGTCAGTGAAGTCCGACCTCATAAAATTGTCCCATGAAACGATGTTATTAATCTGAAATTTACCTAGACCTAAATCTTTTCTCTCTTTTGTGAAATTTACCTAGACCTAAATCTTTTCTCTTTTGTGAACAATGTCGTGCCAATACTTCGTCACCGTGTCACAATGCATTGTCGCCTCTTAAACCTACCCATTTGTTGGCTTCCTCCCCAACCTTTATCTCCCGCTCATCCACAACTAATTGACAACATTTGCCGTGTAACATTACTATCACATTGCTAACAGTGCTTGTCTTGCTCGTTTCTTGGGTATTGATGATCAGAATGCACCGTCACATCTAGAACCTAATTTATCATTTATATCGTTTTGAACTTTTGATTGAAAGCCATCGCCCTTTTAATAGTCTAAATTTAAATCTATCAGCAAGAATGCCCATGTATATATAGCCGTATAGGGAACCTTCCTTCATGTATGATGTGCTTGTCACGATATATTTTTTTTCTTTTATTGCTCCATCCATTCTAAATTATAAGTCATTCTTTATTGTATGTTTAGACATAGCATGTATCTAGATAGTAGCAAAAAACTATCTATCTTGAAAAGCCAAAATAACTTATAATTTAAAAGCGGAAGAAGTATTTTAGATTCATAGAGTAAAGTGGGGTGGGCAGTGGGGACCTATGGGATTTTTTTGGCCACCAGCACATGATAAAGGCATAGGCGCGGCATATGCACAATGCACTAGAGTTACAACCTAGTAAAGGAAGCGAGAGAGGATGACACTAGCATCATGGCACCCAAATCAAGGGGAGGGAGTGACCTCAAAAGATTGTAAGGACGGAGTATGTGATATCTTCCAGAGACTATAAGACTGATAATTGGTGGCCTCTCGGTTCTTGCACTCATGGTATACTGTGGTAGAACCACTTGAAATAACAAGCTTCCGGAGGCGCTTGTCTTCCACCAGACACTAAGCACCTCGAAAGCTGGCTACATTGGACGGTTCCGTCGAGCACACCCCAAGAGAGAACTCGAACCATCCATGTTTTTCCTTCAGGATCCAATAATGAGAACGAGTTTACAATACTTAGTATATTTCATACAACAAGAGTTCTTAGAAATACATTATTACAATACCAAGTTCAGAGTGCGGAATTTAAACAGCCGAATTACAATAAACATCTAACGGTAAGATACAAGGATCCGTCTGTGCCCACCAAAAGAATCCTCCACACAATAGCCATTCCTCAAGCTGCACCTGCAACAGGGGTAAATAAACCCTGAGTACACAATGTACTCGTAAGACTTACCCGACTAGTGGGAATAATTTCCTTACCCCAAAGGATATGATAAGCTTTATGGTTTGCTGTGTTTCCTTTTTGCGAAAAGCAATACTAGTAGTGAATCCTTATGTATGTTTCTTATTAGCAGTCATGATTAGTTCATTATCTAACCATTCTATGTAAGCACCTGTTCTACTTTCAACCAAGAGTTGAGCAATTAGATCCATTTCACCATCTTTCATCTTCTAGTTCTTACTATAGTGCTATATCATAGACAAGTCGTACCGTATTACACGGTGATTCATGAATTAATGTAGCCCAGTTGTGTACCTCGAAACACACGCCTCGCTTGTACCCTAGGCACAAGCAGGACTAATCCACCACTCTCCTATCAAGGGGTCCAAGTCCTGTCCAAACTTGGACTCCAAGCCCCCACACCTGAGTCCCGGACTTAATGTGGTGTTTAGACCTCCACCATCCTCGCCTTCAATCAGCCGGTCCGGAAAGAGCCAGAACTCACAACAAGAGAGCAACGAGCCTTCTCTACTCCCATAAACAAGTATGTGCTCAGGATAATAAGTCTGTGACCTGACTAAAATCCAATGCAACGGCCGGTCTTTAACCGACACGGACAGAGAAAACAGTGTAACCAAGCTATGCCCCATTGACTGCGGGACACAACCTATTACACCCACCAATACCCATACCATGTCCCTACCTAGTCTCCATTTCTTTTCACCATTTTATCATGTGAGTGATAATAATAATCACCTATTGTGAGTAACGACAGGTTACTCACGCTACCGAAAAACCTAAGCATAGCAGCTACTCGACCTAAGCTAGTATGACTCATAGGTAGGTATATCTATGCATGTAGTTTCAATAATAAGCCTGCAACATAAATACACATCACACACACACACACACACATATATATCCAATGATTATTCAAAATAAGGGTTATGCATCGGGGCTTGCCTTGGGCAGGCGCGGTGTCATCAGTCAGTCAGTGGCGCTCTAGGACCTCCTCATGCATGAGGACCTCCTCCTCGTACTCCTCGATCACCTCCTCAAACTCGTGATCTCCGTGGTCACGATCTCCATCAACTCGTTCTCTACATGCATGCGATGATGATGCAACACTTAGCATTTTGGCAACAACAACTCTTAAAATAAGAATACACATGGTAAACTACTAAGCTAGCTCTAATGACTAAGATACTAAGCTTACTATCATCTTTATCAAGTAAAGTGTTGGGTTCAACTAACAAACACCTAGCTTTACAAATGAAGGATATATCTTTATTTCTACTAATGATTTAATGTATATTTGAAATAAAGAGCATTTAACTACCCTTATGTTAAGTCTATTCTAAAGCTACAAAAATTACAGTGAGCACATGATAATACCATGAAGCTATTGTAAAATTTTCAAAGCTACAACTATCACCATTTTGCCACAAAAATTTCTACAATATTTAACATAATAATATTAAGCACTCTCAAATGATTTAATAGCTCATGGTATCAACATGTAAATATATGAACTAAATACACTAACAAATAGAGCACAGTTTTAGGAACTTAACAAAATTGGTTTCATAATTTTTGGATACCTACATGATTTTATATGATTTACCAAAGATTAGCTCAGAAATACAAATGAAAAGCTATTTCTATTCTCCACAAAAAAGCTAAACTGATTTTGGCCCAATGCAGCCCACGTGATGAAAACGTGCGCACGCGAGCGCGCTGCGGCCCATAGGCATGGCCCACGCAAGGCTGGCCTACAGCGCGAGGCGGCCCACGCTGGCACATTAGCAAAAATGCCCCTAGACTATGAACAAAACAACCCACAATCCACTTTACTATTTCTATAGACATCGACTTTGCAATGAAACCCTTGGAACTTTCTCCTCTTTACAACGGCAAGACCCCCGACCCTCCCACGTGCTCCAGCGTGGCGAGCGGTGGCACTGGCGCTTGTGCTGGCCACATGGGACCCACACTGACCTATCTACGAGGCCGACGCTCACCTAGGGTTCGACGTGAGACGATGGGCGGCAGATGCACGAGTCAGGACACCATAGAAGGACCTCTCCACGACAGCGGGCATCCTGCGGCAATGATGACGACATTGTGGTGAGCCGCCACAACAACAAAGCGGTAGGGTAGTGGGTGAGCAACGACAACTCACCAGTGACCTTACCGAGAAGCCGACTCGGCCAAAGACAACCTGAGTGATGCTGGCCACATGCGCGCTGTGAGGCGAATGGTGGACCGCAAAGGCAGGGGCCGCGTCAGCAGCGAGGAGGCGGCCCTAGAGCTATGACTAGCATGCGCACAATGAAGAGAGAGCCA